ACATGGTGCATTTCCATGATCGAGCCCAACGCAACTCCGGCTCGTCATGACAGTGATGGACACATGGTGCATTTTCGTTATTGCACGCTACTGTCGCAAAAAACACACGGCGCAATTTCGTGAATGCGCGCAACAGTTTTATTGGTCGAAATACGATGCAATTTAATTTATGCGCCCTACAGTTGCAGCGGTGGACGGTGGTTGTATTGCTTAATAGACAATTTATCTTTATGTAAAAAATAGAGGCTTTTAAAAATCGACAACAACCTTGTTTTTCAATTTGAATTTTGCTTGGCTCGCTTATCAGTCTTCCTTTTTCAAAAACGAACGGACAAATGTAACTTTGCTGGTAAGGAGAGCATCTCGCATTTAATTATGTAAATTTACGGCCTCCATAAAGCGTTGTAACAGACTTACATCAACTGATTGCTGTAATAAGGCATTTTCCTTGTTTATCTTGAGCTGTTTGAATAAATTGAYGTTTTGGCCCAGCTCTGACCGGATTGTGACTTTCAGGTCTAACTTTACTTCCGGTTTTTGCTCACTGTAAACTGCCAGGGCCTGAAGTGCCACGCATGTATCCTGAAAATAAGACAAAAATATTGTTACATTTTTATATTGCACTCTTTGATTTCGTATCACATGATGTTTACTCTTGTCCTCCGTCAATGTTCAATATGCCAGATAATACTTGGTTTAAAGTTTCTATGCGATAGGACTCACTCTTAAAGCTTGGTAATATTTGGTAACATATTTAAAGCTAGCTGCGATTACGTATTAGATAGTATTTAGTTACTGAGGCGCGCCGGCCGCAATATTAGAGATACATTGCTGCTGGCCGAAGCAACCGTTGTATATAATTAATATTCAATGCCCCAGCCTATTGATTTCTCTCGTGCACGATAATTTAGAATTTCTTTTCTAAATCCAACATGCGTAAAACGTTTCGAGGCATCAATATTGTTCAGTTGGATTGTCCAACCCATATCTCATTTCAGTACGGCTGCCTGGATTTCGAATAGGCTCTGGAAAGTTTTGAAACTACTAACTTGGTGGATGGTTTCATTTATTTACCATCTTCATAAATCCAGGAAAGACGCCGCATTATTATTAATATTGCTGTGTACTTAAAGCCTGTTTACTCAAAGCAATATTATTCATAATGTTGTAATATTGCTTTGAGTACACAGCAACATTGTCTGCTGAAAGAGCTTTACCGTGTCGTTTGRTTTTGCTTCCAACAATCAGTGATATAGTACAGAGAGAAAACAAAAGGCTGTGGCATTGAATAGTAATTATCATGTTGAAGTTTACATGTAAAGAGAGAAAACCCTTATGAAAGACTTCAGGGAAAAATCTCCTTGGCAAGATAGAGAACAACTTTTAAGTTAAAATTTATCAAGAGAAAGGATCTATCTCATTTGTATCATGACCCTACTTCCCTTAAAACGAGCAGCTGTGTGAAAAAGAAACTTTAGAACTGAAAAGAACAGCTCAACATTAGTAAGAGGGCGAAATTTATACTTTGCCATCCAGCATATTTTCCCAAACCAATCCTTATAAAATATTTGATTTTATATTCAATGCCAATTTTCCTCTTTCGCTTGTCATGAGCTAAAAGTTCACCACCCGTACCCTTCTAATATCGACGTGCTCTTTTCATTTCTGTTCATTTTAACACGGCTACTTGTTTTAAGGGAAGTAGGGTCACGTAACCTGTTAGTGCAAGTCGCCTAATTTTAGGACTGCAAGTGGTGTACGTATGTCAGGCGTACGCTATATCGCCACCCTTACCACCCACGTCATTAACCTAATCATGGTTAACGTAAGTGATACTCACAGTAGTGGACTGAAATCCTCCGCCTGAATTTTTTTGCTCTGTCARCCAGATTACAATAGGTCCTGCGTACTTTAGTCGATTCATTTTGACTTGAGCCAGCAACGCGTATGCAGCGGTCTCTATGTTGAGCGCATGACCACCAGCATTCCAGTGWCGGCTAGAGGTAGCTAGTGATAAAATCATGGAATTGATTATGTCAGTAAAACTCACCGAAATGTCATGGATATAAGTAATGTTTCGATTATTATTAATACATATACTTATCCACTGTTTTTTCATCAATTTTTTCAATCATTAATTTTACCAACCTGAATTGTGCAGAGCGAGTTGTACAAGCTGATCATTAGCTCTGATTCTTGCCGGACTGTTTGCCATCGCTAAAGCATACGTTGTTAGAGCCAAATGGTAAGGTTTGTTGTTAATGTTCGCCATATTATTTTCAAGAAAAGTAATAGCCCTCGTGATTTCAGCTGTTTTAAGCTAAAAACATAGCAAAAATAGATACATATTAAAATACCTTATTATCAGAGAGATGAGGCGGTAAGCCGTGTGGGATGGGCTCGGAAATCATTCAAGCTCATATATGTTCTTAATATATGATTTCCGAGCCCATACCACACGGCTTACCGCCTAATCCATTATGTACTATTTTTTCGTTGGATTCTACCAGCTCACTAGATACACCGTGCTGAAGAGGCTCAAAACAGGCCGAAACAGCTGTCCACGGTTTCTAGTTGAGCTGGCACATTTTTTACGCGACTTGAAGTTGTGAAAGGCCCATTGGCCCTCTCTTCTTCAGTCGTTTYATACAAGGCTCGTAATTTACYTATTACGCATTGTCCTTACCTTATTATGTTATTATTATAGGCAGGTTTCATAGCTTAGGTTACATAAAGGCGTGGTYGGCCACTGTACGATTTGCCTTCAAATTTAATATTTTGGAGAATAAAACTTTCGAAAACACAAAAATATCATTGCCATCGCATTCATAACAAAAATGTGAAAGACTAGAAAGAGAAAGGAAACTGTCGGTTGTCCGGTTGAACGAGCCAAGTTCGAGCCCGAGTCAAGTACAAGTCACTAGTCAACCACRAGTCATATACAATTTTTTCTACATTTATCCTTTGTTCCCTACGTTCAAGGCTTCAGCACTCTACCTACTGTAATATGAAGGTTATCTTAATAGCCAAGTTTTCGCACAAATTCCGCATTCTTAGTGGTTTGAAAAAGGTTTACTGAAGGCACTTCAAATAAAGAATTTCTCAGTGTCTCAGGAACATTTCGCCGCTTAGAGATATTAATTTTTGTCTATATATGTTAACAGAAACTCGATCGAAACATCAGTTCGCCATTTTTGATTGTCAACACAGGAAAATAAAACCGTTTTTCCCCCCACAGACACCAGTTGTTACTGGGTTGCCTGTRGTAGCCAAGTCGTAAAATGCCTTTTTTTGTCTTCTCCCTCTCGCGAAAAGTGCATTCTTGCGCAAGAGTACCCATATATGGATTTGAATGACGTATTCATAGATAAATGGCTCATAGATTGGCTTAGCAGCTGAGGATGTAATTCTGGGCTTTAGAAGTAATATTGTTGAGCAGTAAAAGAAGATTTCTAGGATTGTAATTCAGATATTCATTAGTATTAATACAGCTACTCAGTCGGCAGTATTCTGGCTTCAATCGAGCGTGGGTTAGTAGGAGCCTAAAGAAAAATACGGCTTTCAGTCTCTATTTAATCTTAAAGGCATATACATAAATATATCGTTAAATACTGCGCGGTAATAGAGCTGGTAACGTTGTCCGTAAATACGTTTCGCTAAGTATTGAATCCTTTTGCTAACTGAGGTTCMCAGTTCCACTTCACTGGTTTGGATGATTAAAAATACAATATTTGAAGAATATAATCAATAATGGAGAGATCGAGAACTTCAGAACGGTTAGCAAAAACRAATAACCATTTTAACATATTTCTAAACGAATTTAYGTGGCTCATTTGTCAGTGTAATTTTAGATGGAGCCATGTAGGCACAATTTGCTTGCATGGATTGCCTATTTTCCTATATGGAAAATTACTATATCAAGTGTCCGAATAGAGACTGATCGAGTATGGTTCTTTTGTACTAAGACCGAATTGGGMTCCAGTCAGTTCATTATTATTTTGACGTTCGTATTCGTTAGGTGCTGGTAAGAGTGGTTTTAAAACATTTATCAATCAGAATAAAGAATTCAAACCTACCAAGCCGTTGCATTTACATTCCATTAGAGCGGTGACCACGAATGCTGTCATTGCAATGTCGCTATGACTTTGATACGCACCACCCTGAATAAACCAAACAGCATTAGATGGTATGACACTACACTGAATAAACCAAACAGC